AGGACTCTGCTACAAACACCAAATGTTAGCTCACTGTCTGTAAAATCAGCTGAGTTAGTCATTTTTGTGCTTGCTAAGGTTGCTTAGCTGTGGCAGCCATCTGTAGACACAAGCAGAAACGATACTAAATTTCACTTTAGGTAGCAGAGAATGAAAATGTTCTGGCTGGACATGAATGATCATCTCAAATAGGAGCAAAACGATCCCAGACATGTTCAAATGCACACACTAATCACATAGAACTGTGTAATACTTACTGACAGGAAGAAGTCTTTATACCTTCAAAATGTATCTTTTCAACAGAAAGTATTTGCTAACATTTCTGTTGAAGTTATTCAGGAAAAGTCAGAATTTGTGCATGATATCCATCCATCCATCCATTATCTTTACCCGCTTCTTACTTTCCGGGTCGTGGAGGTCACTGGTGCCCATATCCAGCAGTCTCTGTGAGAAGCGGGGGACACACTGGATAGGTCTCCAGTCCATCACAGGGACACATAGAGACAAACAAGACAAACAACCATTCACTCTCTCACTCACACTTAGGAACAGTTTAGTTACCAGTCAGCCTAACATGCATGTTTTTGATCTGTGGGAGGAAACCAGAGTACCTGGAGAAAACCCACACATGCACAGAGAGAACATGCAAACTCCACCCAGAAAGGCCTCCAGCTGGGATTCGATCCGACGACCTTCTCGCTGAGAGGCGGCAGCTCTACCAAATGAGCCCTTGTGCGTGTTATGAATTGTAACAAAAACAATTTGTATTGGGACACATGCAACAGATTTATTTTGTGTACGATTATGAAAATAAATCTTAAAATAGTTTCATCTAAAATGCATATTTTTGTTTTTAGACGTTTATTTTTGGTTTAAAGAATGACTCGTTTTTACAGTAAAGTCAGTTCAGCGTTGAAACTGACTCCAGTTTGCTTGAAGGCACATCAATATTTACCTCCCACACAGTCTCCATATTCTACAAACAGCAGTAAGCACAAAGCTTCAGTCCCATCTTGAACAAGCAATGTAAAAAAAAAAGGCTTTTGACTTTGAACAGTCTTTAAAACCATCTTCAAAGACTTGTACTGTGTTGCAGTTCCCCTGTCTAAGTACTTACACCTTTTACTTTTTCTTTTACCTTAATCTCGATATTTTGGATTTTAGTTTTACTTCAGTATTCCCGTTGGTGTATTCGCTTGTTTTAAAGTTGTCTCACTGGAGCTGTTAAAAATCACTGTCACTGAGTTCCATTAAAACATTTCCACTGGTGAATCTTGGGAGTTTTGAGCTACAGCGTGCTCACATTCTAGTTAAGAAGTCTTCACTTGTGGAAATGGCCTTTTTAATGCAACTTACCTGCTTAAACAATAATCCAAATCTAATCTAAACTTAACATTTATCCCTGATCGCTTGAGACATCACTTTCCAGTAATTTAAGTTTTCTGGTCTGTTTACCTCATCAGCATAAAAATATGATGGCGCAATGAATCAACTCTGCATTGCTCTGTTCTTTGTTTTGTTTGAGGTGCTACATCTTGGGCCTAAATGTTCAGTGTTTGTAGTGTTTGCGTAATTGTACATGAGTTAAATGTTAATTGTACGTGTTAATTGTACATGGGTTAGCATATATCTTAGATCTTTTAGCGTCTTTTGGCATCCGTTAGCGTATATCCTAGTGTATATCTTAGATCCTTATATACTGTTTCTTTTTAGACTTTATATTTTTGGCTATTGTGTGATGTAATGCAGAGGTATGATGTTTGAAATTGAAAAAAAAATAAAAACAATTTTTATGGAAAACCTTACAGACATCTTGTCCCCTTCATTCAAAATAAGGAAATAAAGGCCCACACTGTCTTTACCTGTGTCTTTTTCTTGGATCTACTTTAAGTAGTGAGTGTTTATAAAAGTCATTTTGTTTTGAGTCTTGGCTGAGGTCTTTCTGTGAGGAGTTTGCATGCTATCACTAGCATACATGTATTTACTTCAAGCACTCAGTAAACAAGTGTGTAATGTTATTTTTTTTAGTTTAAACTGACCTTTGGGGAGTATGTTGTTTGTGTCATATGTTTGTTGGACTTGTGATGAACTAACTGTTCAAGACTTATCCCATTTCTTACCCAAAGATAGCTTGAATCGACTCAAGTCCTTCACAATAATGAAAAAGACTAAAACAGGTTGATGAATGGATAAATATACATTATACAAATATTGCAAAGACACTGATATATTTTACAATAATCGGAAACACAGCTAATATGTCTGGTCAAAATGTTCCAGTTTTTTCTCACAAGTCCCACAAACGTTGAGGCCTGTAATGTATTTGGGTGAATTCCTGTCTGGTTCTCTCTGTTTTTCAGTCATTAGTGGAGCTCTCCTATGTCTTTCTCCATGTAGCCCATTGTGATCAAAAAGTGATGATTGAATGGTTTTTGGATCGTTTCCTTGGCTCATTCTTTACTATCAACACCTTCTGTGATCAACCTGGGGTTGCATTTCACAATGATACCAAACTACCAAGTGTCATTTTAGTTCTCTTTAAGCAGACTGAATGGCTGATGAAAAGCTTAAATGTACCTGTGACACTAATTACTTTCAAACTTGACTATAAAACAAGGATTAATAGCCTCTTTAAGAGTCCCAAGAAACAATTGATTTCCTCTCTTCTTTTTGTTTACTCAGTCTCATTATAAAGGCATCAAGGGAGATATACAGTAGACGGTTGCTTTTACATCAGCCACGCTTAATTTAGAGATTATTTCAATGAGTAGTAAGGCTGCCAACTAATTTATTTGACTGAATAAATAACCATGTTGCACAATAAATACTGAAAGATCTGGTAAATATTGCTTTCTTTGCAAAAAGCAGTTTATTAAAATGCTTCACAGACTCATTGACGGAAGTTGGTTATCGTCGCATTTCGTCAGTCACTTATGAATGTATTTCTACAGATAGAGTAAAGTGACAGTGTTGTGCAGCATTGCTGATTCACACATTAAACAGCTGCGATTTCTTCAGTACAACCTGTGATAGTTTGTGGTGTTGGTCACATTTTTGATTATACACAGTTTCAATATCTGTATAAGTTCTAATAAGTCTTAATTTCCATGGCTGGGCAGAACAGCTTGTCACTAGTATTTCAGTACCTCATCTGAGCCTGAAGGGAGGAGTTTGATGCAACTCTGCAAGGGGAACTGAAGGATAGTGCAGGGCTTCTGTTCCTGTATAATCATTAGGATGCCTCTGCCCTCCCATGTGCACTCATCATCCTCTGCTGTTTCACAAAGGTCTCCTCCCCAGTTCAGGAGGTCCTTCTCTTTTCTCTCAGCTGGGCGTTCTGTCTTTGCTTCTTCTCTCTTCCTGCATGCTGGATAAATGCTGTCCTCTGCAGCCTCTTCAGTCTTTGTCTTTCTGCTCTTCATTTCTCCCCCACCCATTTCTGACCCTTAACGGTATGCCCCGCGGATGAATGATGGCCCTTCTCCGTCCCCAGGCGCAGTCAGCTCTAATAAAAAGAATATACTCAAATTACTTTCTGGACAGTAAAGTCCCAAGACCCTTAATGTAAGAATAAAGAATAGAGAAAGGGTTGACAAATGGGTAGAGCAGGATAGAGGTTAGAGAACAGAGTGTAAAGGGTAAGAGTTAAAGTAACAGGATAGTAAATGAATCAAGACAACAACACGTGGAAGAATTGATAAGAATGAATGGATAGCATAAAAGTACAGGAAAAATCTCAGACAGTCAGAAAGAGCATACTACTAAAGGATCCTATACATTTTTTTTACATTTCAGAGAATCTAGAGTCTGTGTATGTGCACTTCTGTTGTTTAGTCGAGGATATATAATCCATGATCTCCACCGGGCTCAGTCAATCATTGTAACCAAATGGTCTCACTCACAATACTGAAGTAAACATGGATCTGTTGTTTATCCTGTTAAATAAGATTCAGAGTAATATGTTATTTATAGGGATGCACGATATTGGATTTTTGGCTGATATGCCGATATGTTAAAACTTATTTGACCGATACCGATTTTTCATATACTTTCCTTTGTCAAACCATAGCCTTCTTATTTAGGCTTATTTGCTACAAAAAAAAATTGCAACAGCTGTAAGAGCTGACATATATTCAGTAACAGCATAGCATAGCATAGCACTTTAACTTATATTAAATGAAAGTGTTAAATGTTATTTATTAGCATTAGTCACCACCTGCGTTGCTGTCTCATGTGGAGACTTGTTCCAGGTTCCTAGCTGCAGTGTGGGATCCTCTGCACTCCTGTGCATGAAGGACAGCCTTTTTAAGATCAAAGTTTTTGTCTATCATTGTGCTGTAAGACTAATCATGCTAACGGGGCTAATACAACGTCCAAATGTCTGTGGTAAAACTCACCCAAGTGCTATCGGCTATTAGCTTCTCAATGACATTGGAAATTACGACTTGTAACTCGGGTAAGGCTATGTCAGAAATCTATCTCTGACTGGGGACGATGTAGTGAGTCTCAACGTAGTCCAAAAATCTTCGGAATCTAACATCCTCAACAAAAATAAAACCACACACTGCCGACACTTTGACTTTTTCCTCTCCGCCGTGATCAGATCAGGTAGGCGCACGTGATGTCATCACGTTGTGCTGGCACTGCAGGCATCCTTGTCACTGGGTTGTCATAAAAAACATTTCCTTTTTTTATCGGTGAGTTATTTTCATGGAATGGCAAATGTCCAATATTGAACTTTAATGCTAATATCGGCCAATACCGATACCATGCCGATAATATTGTACATCGCTAGTTATTTGTAGAAGTTTTGAGATGCTTGGAAGTAGAGTTAATTTTTCTTATACTGAACTGAACTAACTGTTCTCTTTTTACAGTTTAGCTTTGGGCACAGTTTTGACTTTCTCATCAAACATTGAGCAAAAAGCAAATGTTCCACCTTCATGTTAAGCTATTCCATTAAATAATCTCTCTGTTTCTTTCTGTCTCCATTGCTCCAGTGTGAAGATGGTACTTCTCTGGACGGCTGGTGATGTCTTCAAGACCATCTACTTCATAGTGAATGAAAGCCCAGCTCAGTTCTGGGTGTGCGGTTCAGTTCAAATCTTTATCGATGTGGCCATCCTGCTCCAGGTGCTGTTTTACAGCCGAGATACTCGAGTCAAGCTTGGTTAAGTGTTGCTGTTGTGAAGAAGGATCCAGAGTTGTATCAATGAGACCTTTAATAAGATCTGAAACCAAAGTTGTCCACATTTTTATAGAATTTAGCAGTTTGATATGTCTCCAAGTGATATTAAGCCACAAAGTTATCCTGGAAAGTTTTTAATCAAACAAGTAACTAAATCCAGCATCAACAAAGTCCATGCTCAATAATCCAGGTATACAATCCAACATTTTTCAGTCAGGTCATCTGGACAGTTTCTTTTTTTGTGCTGAAACGTTTCACCTTTGATCCGGAAGGCTTCATCAGACTAAATCCAGCATCATTTATGATCACATAAATCAGTGTTTAAGTGATTTTTTTACCTATTTTTTTGTTACTTGTTAGCTGTCTGTGAATCAGTACATGAACTCCTGAGTTGGAGTGGATTTTGAAACCGTGACGAGAAAAATAACTCACACTGGCAGGTCAGTAACAACAGGTCAGTGCTGCTGTAATCTTCTGTAACTGTTACAACCAGTCCTGCACTGGAACGAGAACATTGGACTCTACTGATGATACTTCTGCTTCACACTCCTCCCTCCTCTGGACTTTTCTTGTGCTACATAATGTGTGTAGTTGCGTGGCTGTGGGCATGAGCACGTGTGTTTGGTTCATGTTGGTGCGTCAGTGTAGCTGAAATTGATTTTTGCCGCTGGCATCCATCGTCAGTCCAAGGCCAAAAGATGTGCATTCAGTAATGTAACTGCACAGGCCATCCATCTATGTGTTATGATGCTGCGTTGTGCTTCACTCCACAAGTAATGCACGTTTCAATGAAACTTTAGAAACTATTATTTTAGCTCAATATGTTTGCACAATACTTATGAATCACAATAATTTTGGAACAAACTTTTTTTTTTTTTTTTTTTTTTTTAATGGGCGATTAGAACTGAACCTTGTGGCATTTTTTATTTTTTGTTTCATACTCCAGTATTGCATCTGCTAATGTGTTGGTGATTCAGAAATACAAAATGAGAGTCAACAGCATTTACCTATAGATTTATTTATTATTTATTTATTTATTTATTTCAGCTTTGGTTTTAAGCAAACACAAAGAGCTACCACTCATCTGTCCTAATATGGAGTGGGAAGCTTATTTTATTAATACATTTTCTTAACAGTTGAAATACAACATTTCACTACTTCATATGTTCATAAATAGCTAATAAATTAAAAAAGCACTTGTAAAAGCATTAAAAGTATGTTTTGTTACTTTGTTTCAAATATCTAAAACTAACAAGTATTAAAAAATGTAATTATCATTTTTCTAAGCTGTAAATGTAAACAAGTAAAAACCTAATGGGTTATTCATAATTAAATTGGAGTGAATGTTCCCCTACTTTCATTCATTCATTAATTCAACCTTTATTTATACAGGTTAGTCTCAATGAGCATGGAGGACTCATTTACAAGAGAGACCTGTTTTAAACAAAGAATGATGACAACAGTAGACAATCATAAAAGAAAACATATAAAATGAAAAATAAAGTGAAGAAAATGATGTTAAAAAACGAAACAAAAACAGCTACATTGTAAAGTGATATCAAAAACTAAAAACAGGAACGTGTCTGTGTTGGTTTTTACCATGAACTTAGCAGATGTTTAAAGCCATTTAGAGGTCAAGGTCGAGAGCTTCAGATCTTTTTGCAAGATATTCCAGGAAACAGGAGCGGAGTAGGAGAAGGCCTTTTTGCCTAGTTCAGTCCACACTGAGGGAACACTGCATGTAATAATGTGCTGAGAGCGCACGCTGTAGCTGCACTCATATGTAGGAGAAGATGTATGAAGGCAACAGACCAAGAAGTGATTTAAAGATGGAAATGTACCAGTGTGAGAGTCTCTGTGAAGTTAATGATGACCAGTTAACCAATGAATACAGGGTTCAATGGTGGGTACAGTAGTTACAGCCAGTTATGAATCTTAGTGCACCATGATAGACAGCGTCCAACATCTGCAGGGTGCTTGCAGGAGCATTCATATGAATAATGTCACCACAGTCAATGGAAGGAAGGAAAGTCACAGTTACGAAACATTTCCTAGCGTTCAGAGTTAGACAGGATCCTTATCTGAAAAAGAAACCCAATTTGACTTTCAGTTTCTTTACCAAGTTTTCGACACGAGGCTTAAAGGAGAGATGTGAATTGACCAAGATACCCAAATATTTGTAGTAATCAAAAAACTCAATAGGAACACCATTCAGAGTCAGAGTCAGAGTTTCCTTATTGTCATTCGCACCTCATGTGGTACATGTGGTGGAGCGAAATTATGTACACGGGGTCCCAGTTACATCCAACAATAAAATGTATAAGAAAAACAGTAATAACATCTAAGATATGAACTAAGAAAAACATCAACTAATATACACTAAGCACTCATAACATAAAACATTGAACATCAGCACAAACATGAACATGAGTCTGTGAGCAGATGTGCACGCATGAACACATCAACATTAAAACAGATCAGCAGCAACATGATATGGTTTTTCACAGTGATTATTCTAGTTAGAGATTCATGAGTTTAACAGCCTCAGGGTAGAAGCTGTTCCTCAGTCAAGTGGTTCTACACTTAATGCTCCTTAACCTCCTTCCTGAGGGGAGTGGGGCAAAAAGTGTGTGTGCTGGGTGAGTGGGGTCCTTCATGATGCAGGTGGCCCTCTTCCTGCATCTGGAGGTGTAGATGTCTGTGATGGTGGGGAGGCTGATTCCGACAGATTTCTGTGCAACCTTCACCACTCTCTGCAAAGCTTTTCTTTCATTCGAAGATAAAATTGAAGAAAGGACTGCTGAGACCGACTTCCTGTTTGAAAACAACATCCCTTTGGTTTTGTCAGCATTTAGCACAAGTTTGAGACGGAACAAATCTGACTGGATGATGTCAAAAGCAGATTGCAAAAGCTGGAAAACCTTAGCAACTGTTTTAGCTCGACAGTAAACAACTGTGTCATCAGCATAGAAATGTGAGGATGCGTCAGGGATGGTCTGACCTACTTTACCCATGTAGATTGTGAAGAGGTTGGGTCCGAACACTAAACCTTGCGGCACACCAGTGTTAACAGTTAGATAACTGGAAGAAGTACCATTATGTTGAACACATTTCAGATCTGTCCAGGGTGTCCTCTGCCTCTCGCTTGATGACAGGACTCCAGAAAAACTTAAAGTTGGTCATAATATGACACAATAGCCCATTTACAAATAAAACAATCATTGTTAAAATCAAAACAAAGATACAGACTGATTAAAAAAATTAGGTGAAAATATTCTATTTTGGAATTATTTGAAAGCCACAAATTATGGATTTCTCTGAAAAGCAGCTAATCGTTGATACAAATGTCACACATTCAACTGAGAAAATGAAACTGAGGTTAGTCTGACTTTTAGCACAAGACAATGAACCGAAGCTTTAATTTCTCTGCTTGGAGGAAACAGGGGCAGCCTTTACTGTTTCTAGTTGGTCAAAATGGTACAGGTTGTTAACTTTTAAGTGATTTGTGAGTAAGAAACGGAAAAACAGGTGCCCAAACTTTTAAATCCTGAGCCTTTTATGTCTTCAGTGCCACTTTTCACCCCCATTCTTTTAGCCTCAGATAATTACCAAAGAGCCTTTTAGATTAGATCCAATTTATTTTATAGCACACAACTTCTGTAATCAAACTTTAAAGTTTCTTCGTTCACTCAGAAATGCTTCATTAAACTGATGAAAGCTAACGTAGCGTGAAGACAGGATGCTAATGCTTCATATTTACGTGCTTGTTTTCCTCGTCTTGTGAGGAAACTCACAGAAACAGCTGAGCTTATGAACTGAGATGCTAACTCTAGCAAGGTCGTTACCTCAGATCATATTACCCCCCACTTAATTGTTTCTGCCATGTTTACCACATAAAGTAATACTGTTTTAGTCTCCATGAGTGCAGATGACCAGTGTTTCTGCCTGACAGGTTTGCGGGGAACAAACAATAAAACTTAATTCAGTTTTTCCTTCCTTATAAAATTCTAATCTGTTCACATATTTTAGTCAGAAGCTTGAAGCATTAATCTAACTTTATATCTTTAAGATAAGTTGTGGTTATGTCATCCATTTTGTTGACAGTTCTGGTATAAGATCTCTGCAGGGTAAAATAAATTCCATCCAGCAGCTGATTAGTAGTCACTGCAAGTTTTTAATCTAACCTTCTACAATGTATTCAGGTAATAAAGCTTTGAGCTAAGTAATTCTTTAATTCATCTTGTGAACAGTTTTTCATCATTTGTCAGCTTCAAAACACACACTGATGTGGATATTAATGGCATTGTGGAGAGATCCACTGCAAACAGCCAAATCAGCCTTTTGAAGTAGTGCTATGATGCATATGCTAAATACATTTTAAATTTTGTTAAATGATCATTATAAAGCTCTAATCTGCTGAAAACTGTCAGGTTCACGCGTGTATTTTCATAATTTTGTATATCAAGTGTGCAATGTCTCAGTGAACACATGCATTCTTCGAACCAGTTTCTATGCTCCATCTTTTAGCAGGATTGGACGTCTTATCTGTTGTGGATTCTGCAGATGCATCTGTAGTCTGCACATTCTTATCACCAGATGTGAATCTTTATCTCGTTTGTCCTCAGCAGAGGCTCAGAACAGGATTTTCCCTGGTTTTAGTTTAACATTTACGTGTCCTGCGGCCTTTTCCTCTCAAGGGCAGAGGAAACTTTATTACACTTGCAGCCTGGTTGTATAAATCTCTTTGTGTTAAAGTTCATGATACAGGACATATATGTATTTAATGTGTTACTGCTACCATGCTTGTTAAATGATCTTTATTGGACTGTTCTTGACTTTTCTAAGGTGCCAAATGTGATTTTTTTACATCTTGGGAAAAATAGTTGCTGTTAAAACAAAAGCCAAAAATTATCTGAAAGTTTTATTTTTCCAAATTATGTATTTTACCAACACTTTTTAAAGTGTACCAAAAAATGTTTAAATATAACCCAATGATGTAATCTGTGATAATAGACACTGATGTCAGTTCTGCTAAAGAATTGTTGCTGTTACACGTTTCAAGCTTATAGGAACCGTTTGTACGTGAAGCTTTGCACTTTTTATTTTCT